ATTTGGCCAATATTCTGAAATTCTAAAAAATACAGTTAAACCTGTCTATAGCGCCCTCTCTTGGGACTCACCAAAATAGGGTGCTATAGAGAGGGGGTGCTATAGACAGGTCACTTTTAATGTAAATCGCATCGTACTACGTATTTAAAAAATCGGGCGCTATAGAAAGGAAGGTGCTATTTAAAGGGGGCGCTATAGACAAGTTTAACTATATATATAATTAGCTGATAGTTATTCCGTACAGTTTCACAATCAAAAGATGTATTATTTACATCTCAACCATGTTCCATTTTGTCCTATTTTAAAAAGAAATGTGTTTTTATAAATATGACACAATTTGCTATTATTTTTATTATATTTACTACTATATAACCTAAATAAGATATTTCTATAATTGCAAGGAGAGAAAGTAAAAAACACTGGGTCAATATGTTTATTGGTCAAGAAATGAGGGTTTATCAAATAACGGTGTCAATGGGGGTGAGTGAATGCAAAAAAGAAAAAGTTAACATTTACCGGAGTAACAATAGATATTGTTCCATTGAGGCGGCCATTGAAGTTCTTACAGTGCCTGTCTAGCTTTTATTTACAGAAAAAAAAGTAATCGTTGACAAATTGAGGGAGAAAGAAAGGGTGACACACAATTTGGATTGTTGTGGCCAATGCATCTTGACCCTGTGGGGAGTCAGCTCGCCAAGCTGGAAGTTAAACCAGGGCATAACTGTAGACAACTGAGTAAATGACCCGGTGTTCTCTGTCAGGGTGAATACTTTACTTTTATTGGACCATTCTTCTTTTATATCTGCCACACACACATACTATAAAGTAATTATATTTATATGTAATTCTACTGTCCTATAAGCTTATGTGCATAGTTTTCTTGAAAACCATTTCTGAGATTCCAGCCTTCAGTGCTGCGTATATAAGCAGAATCGTCCAATAAAGTATTAGAGCTCTAAGAAGCAGTCTGGTGGATTAAATTGGCGAAACCTGGTAGGGTTCACCACTGATGAGCCAAGCCCTCCCAATATATTTTTTCATCATAGTAAGGACAGTAGAAGTTTGTATTGTATATAAAAGAAACATTCGCGCTCAAATCCTTTCATTTTATATATTGTAATTCTTTATGGAGACATTTTTAAGGAGATACTCTGTGAACTTTGACAACAGTAAATATATGTGTGTGTATGTTAAAAAATAAGAAAATAAAAAATTAATTTATAAATACGACTATAGTGGAACATTACCTTTGCACAATACAAGTACAATATTTGAGGAAGTTGTACCTTTCATCATGTATATCGGGGTTCCGACAATAACTCTGAAAGATATTTGATACACAGTGACCCTCAATGAAGACACACGAGATAACCAACTGTAAACAAAATTGTCTCTGTCTCCTTAAAAAAAAGATGACCGGTTATATCAAAGATTTTCCACTTCCTTAAGTTTTGTCCATTAGTGTATATATATTATAATCGTAGTGGTCAAGGGGTTTACGACTTAGAGTAAGTACCCCACATGTATATGCTTGCTGGAAACAGCGGTACGGGATATACGCCAGTACAACCAGTTGCAAACTCCTATTGGACAGATTTAACATGGCCTCCATCGTGTGTACTACTTCCAGTAATAAATTATATGGAAAACGAGAAGTATTTGAAGGTTATATGGAGTATTTCATAATAATGGTCGGTTTTCATAGATTTTGTCCTGTTTTCATCTTTTGGACGAATTTATAGAGATTAAAATATTTGTGTTTAATTACATTGCTATATTAATTTGTAAAGTAGACGGCACAAAAACAAATATCTGAACACTCTCAAACTAAATAGAAAGAGGAAAAAACAGCTGAAATTTGACTATCAAATATAATATTCAAATTTCTTCTCACCTAAAAGTATTATCTAAAAAAATGGTTCTTTATTGGATTATTACCAAACGATCCTCGTTTATTCTTCATTATTCTCGACGAGGCCGCCATTTTGAAATAGGCTTAACTCTGGGCGAAGAAGTTGAATTGGTGGAGAGCTAATATTAAATTCCCCACTAAATCAACAATGTTCAAAACAAAGAAATAGGATTTACGTAAGCCTTTCAGATGAGGTGAGGAATAGACCTCAATATTTCCAAAATTGAATAATCTAAAAGTTGAACAAAAAAGGGGAGAAAAGCCGCGCTTAAGAAGTTTATATTTTTATTTATTTTTCGTGCGTTCTATATCAGCCGAATAATTCTTAGAACTTGAGGATTCTATAGCGAAGGAGCTTAGCCTCCGAATTTTATTGTAGAAAAGCAATTGGAATATACAGGGTGGATTTTTATTTCAATTTCTTATCTACCATATATAGGCAGGCTTATATGTGTTCTTTGGTACTCTGGTATTTTGCTTTGTTTATATTCACATTGTTTTGTTATTCCGTAGTGTATATAGTTCTTTTCGTATATGTGAATATATTTTATGTTTTGAATTGCCCAAGCTTTTTTAAAATAATAAAATATATTTTAAAATAAACAGCTAGCCTATTTTTCTCAGTATTTTATATAACTAGAGCATTTTCCCGTTGTACATAAGAGAGACAGAGTATTTTGAATATATCTAAACCAAAATTCTCTAAACTTTTTGTAGCTTCGCATAAAAAAAAGAGAAGAATAAATTGTGCTTGGCTTCAAATTCGATTAAATTTAATATAACTTTCAAACTTCTTAAATAAACTATTCTCTTTAATGGTATCACCTCTGGTTAGATATGTAGTAGATATTTACAACTACTTTGCCGGCTAGGTTCGAGCATGCGTCTACCGCCGGTGTGGTCCCGCCTGAGTTCAAAGACAACAAAAATAAAGCAAACTACGCATGCGTTACCAAATCCGGAGTAGCCAAAAAGCAGTAGAATAAAATAGACACCATCACGATCGAAACTGGGTATTTTATAGTAGAATTTTATTATCTCTTTTTTTTTAACTCTAAAAATTATCTATAAGGTTATAGTTCGTAGTTGTTTTTCTAATCCCACTGTTTTACCATTATTTATCAAGTGTTGTTTCAGCTGTTAATTCCTATATAATAATTTGCCAGAACCCACGCCCGTTTAAAGAAATAGTACCTCGGTAATCCTTGTAACCATTAAACTAAGAAAACATTGAAAGCGCATTGGCTAATTAACTCAAAGTTGATTGGCCGATTAAGGTCATGTGGCAATAAAGAACAAATCACTTGTCGAATATTTTGTTCAGACTGACAATTTTGGGTGTAATAACTGTTATATATAGATAGACACTCAAAATAAGTTTTAAAATTAACGAATTCCCATCCCTGGGTACTTTATTCTTCCGTTTACCATCACTCTTCACAATTCATCCTTTCATACTTCATCCGTAAGGTTAGAAATAATCGTTATTTCTCCTTAAAATAAATTTCAATTTTTTGTCCACAAAAGAAACATTTGCGGTATAATTTTCAAACTTAGTTCTACAATCATTATCCGCATTATATTGTATTATAACACATACATATTTATATAGACAGATAAACACCTAAATATTATATAGGTTAACTACATTTACATCTATCGTAAATGGTTACTTAGCTAGATCTAGGCCAAAAATGACTGGTTAATACAGAGTTCCTCTTAGCACAAGTTTCACAAATCTGTATAGATAAAATTTGATGATATGTGTGGAAAGAAACACATTGCCTCTGAAAATTAATTGCTACAAATCTTGTAATAATGCTTCCACGAAATAAAATCCATTATTTTTATTTATTTATAAACTATAGTAAAATCTATAAAACACTAAAGAAGGTTTAAAATAAGTTGTTTGATATGATTTACGGGACTATGTCGATTTTGCAGTAGTATACCACGTTTTGATAGGTTTGGGCTTTACAAAAAGCCACATTATGAAATGAAAACTGGGACCCGGTGGTTTAAGCCACCTAAAACAGGGTTAGGATAAGATTTTAGTTATATAATATAAAATTCAGGGTGTGTGGATCCAAAATACAACGACAGACATCAGTATATTCTACACTAAAAAAAAACAATAGAAAATGTTTCTATAAAATTTTCTTTGATTTTTAATATTTAATGTCATACAGCCTTTCGCGAAAAAGTATAAGAATATAATTATGAGGTTGAATATATTTATAAATTTGAGCATTTCATAGTTGAGTTTGGAAGGAATCATTTTCAGTTAAATCAGGAATATGCAATCAATCCCAATAATTCACCCGTTAATTATTATGATATTTTGATCCAATATATGCC